CCCCAAAACCCCAAAACCCCAAAACCCCAAAACCCCAAAACCCCAGAGGTTTTATATTTTATTGAATAAAGGATAAGGAATAGAATAAAATATGAGTAGTAAGGTGAAGAAAGAGAAGAAGAGGAATAAAAGTCTTGAAAATTTAAAGATAATAGTTGATCATGCACATTTGTCCAAATTGAGGCCGTTGACAATTTATTGAATAGGGAAGGGCAATTTCTCGCAAGGTATTTTTGTTATCTTAGGAATAGTCTATCAATTTGATATAATAATTCCAAAGAGAATCAGGGCAGAGGAGGTTAGCAATCAGATTGATGATGTCGCAGAGCAGCATGAACAAAAGTTCCTTCAACAACAGATTCAGGAAGATATTCCTAAGATGAGGAAAAGGGTAATCCTTTGCATTTTAGGTATAGATTGAGATGTTCAATCAAAACTTATCAGAGGATGAATTGGTTGACAAACAAATGGAAAATATTTTATCCCATCCGTTGGTGTACAAAGATCTTCCAAGTTTAGTAGTCGATCTTAGGTTCAAAAGTTTTCTAAATCTAGAATTAAGGAATGTGTTCAACCAGAGTGGAGATATTGTAAACTCCTTTGCAGATGTGAAGTACAACGACAAATGCATTTTTCTGACAGATGATAAGACTTTATTAAAAAGAAAGAAAGAATTATTCATATTTACATCTTGTTTCCACACAAAAATGTACCTGAAAGAGATCATTCCCATCGATCTACTCGATAACTTTAGAGATGATGGAACCCAAATTCTGGAGATCGAGGATATTCCAACAGAAGATTGCGAACTTGACGAAGGCAAGTATGATGGATATTATCAAAGCATTGATCCCTTCAAGATGATGAATGAAAAGTTAGCATTAATTAGGATATTGAAAAAGCCACAAAGACTTCTTCTCGAACGGTATTTTGCTTGCTTACCTTTAGAGTCTAGTTTCGGTTCCAAACATTACAAAGCTCCCTCAGATTGGAGCTAATATCAAGTTTTTGTCTAGTAAGATTGAGAAGTGAAGAGAAAATAATGTAAACACTCAGAAATCTTTGCAAAATTCAAAGCTTCATCAAAGTATTTATGAGAAGATAGAAAATCATCCAACTTTAAAGACATTCGATATGCTCAAGAAAAGTAAGAATAACAAGTAAGCTCCTTGCTGTATTAACCATTGCAGAAATTTGAAAGGCCATAAGACAACAAGAATCTCAAAGAAGTCATCTATTCTTAAATGAGGCAAAGAGATCATTCCCAAAATGACCGAGGATTACAAGCTTCCAAGGAACATGTCAACCGTTATTCTCAAAGAAGATGGCTCTGACGGTCTGATAGATACTCGGTAAGTATAAATCCCTCTGATGTGTTTATAGATATAAAAAGAAATGGCTAAGCGAGCTAGAACAGAAAGAAATACAGAGTAACTGCAATACCTTAATATAGGAGGCAAGCATAATTTCCCGAATATTCTCAAAAATACTGTCATTGTGGATTCTCTAAAGGCAGCTAATAAGTATCACCAGGATAAGATAGAAAAAGACTATGTAGCCAAGAGAGAACATGTAGATTCAAGAGAGAGAAAGCTTACTGCTTTACGAATTCATAAATAAGGTAAAAGCTTCAGACCTGAAGAAGAGCATGAGATACCTTGACAAGCTCGAAGACAGACTTAATAACTCTTCTCGTGAGTTTGAAGTTACTACTCGAATGAACTTGAAACAGAAGGAGATTAATAAGATGATGAAGCAATTTAAGAAAAAGTACTCTAAGATGAAAATTTCTGAAAAACAAAGCGCAGGAATTGCAATTTCCTCAACTGTAGATAATTCTTCCAAGAATACTTCACGAATCACCCCTGCAACAATGCAGCAGATAGTCATAAGTATAAACAACTCAAGCATGAAGAAGAAGCCTAAGAAGAAAAAGACTAAAAAGCCTTATCAAGCCGATTCCTTTAAATATGCTCAATCAATGTTAGATCTTTCTGATAATATCATCAATGTTGCTGGCTCTACTAGCTCCAAAATAAAATGCGGAGAAAATAAATCTGAACTGACTGAAGACCAAGTCTACGATAGTACAAAAGTCATGGTTGAAATCCTCAAGCCAAACTTGACAAAGCAGACAAACACTTAGCTGTTATAACTCGACTTAACTTTCAATTAAAACTCCTCTAAAAGGGGTTTTGGGGTTTTGGGGTTTTGGGGTTTTGGGG